TTTAATTATAATAATTAATGATAAATTTAAAATTTTTTATTAAGAGTAAAGTTCACTTTGAATTTCATAAAATGTGTACAAAAAAAATACTTCTATCCGTTATATACTTTTGAAATTTGAATATTATATGTAATTTTATTTGTTCTACAACTTCACTTAATCATAAAAAGTAGTTTTTAAATGCTGATTTTGAGTTTAATATAAAGAAATTACAAATTTTACTTAATATATATAAGTCACAAAACAGTTTGCTTAGTAGAGTCAAATTTTTTTAAGTCATAATGAGAGTTTGTTTAGCAGAGTTGAAAATAGTTTATTTATTGATCATAGTAAATTTTGAAATTTTCATCTGACTTATATATAAATTGTTTAGGGTCCTACTAAGACCTAAATTGGGACTAGATAAAAAGATGCATTTATAAAGAATGTGTATTTATAAAGGATGTATTTATAGAAAGTTGTCTGTATTAATGTGAAAAGTTTACAATAATAAAGGAGAAATAAAAGAAAAGAAAAATACTTTGCAATTAACCAACTAATTCATTTAAAATCAGTGAATTAAATTAAACTGGGTTCACAAAGTTTTTACTAGGAAAAATTTTTTATTAATAAATATAACATATAAAAAATAAATACAAAATCTGGCGTGATACATGGTAAAATTTTTATACTAAAAGTTGTGAACTATTATACATGCTTATTTTTTTATATGATAACCCACTATTTTAGTCCTTTTCTATCAGATTCTTCTATCATACACTCTACAATTAGTCAATAATTCATCTATAACCAAATCAAAAAGTAGTAATCTGTTATAATTGTCTGCCTTTAAGCTGAAGAGTACCTTCATTTTAGAAAAGTATATGAAAAAAAAGGTTATTACGCTATAAAAGCATAAGATATTTGGTAGAATCAGAATGCTCAATAAATTCTCATTGAATAACTTTATCTTTTGTTTGTATTACTTTCTACTCACTTTTTTTTTATACCTTATTGAGTTTATCTATTATACCCACTATTATTTAAATAGATTTAAATCTCTTAATGTTTTTAATTATTTATTTTCATTGATAAACTATTCTGATTTATGACCTTTATTATTTAACCTTCTTCTGTAAATATTATTTAATCTATAATTATCTATTTTACATTAGATTATAAAATAATCAACAATTTTTACATTTTATATCTATATAAATCAATTATCTAATTTGATTTTAAAACATATGTTAAATATTGTAATGCGTAAATACTTTTTTTAAAAATTGACTATTCCGCAAATAATTTGTTTTTGCTTAAGAAGGCAGCATTTTTTGATTATATAGAAGTTGGTTATACAAATCATTATGATTTTTTTTGATTATTCAGAAAAAAATTGAGACTTTATTTGATTATATAACTTTTTGATTATTTGAAAAAAATTGTGACTTGTGATTATACATAAAAAGTCAATTCACGCATTTCAGATATATATAATTATTTCAAAATTTCAACCATGATTTTTCTTGTATTTTCTAGAGTTATATTATTATTGTAATCTTTGTGAATTAATCTACATGTCACTTCTGATACCAAAACTTCTTATATATAATCTATCTGCTTTAATGGAAATGCTTTAAATGGTATCTATCAAAGCATTAGCAATAAAGTATAATCCTTTGGATCCATAATATCCAGCCTATAAATTAATATGATTTAATATAAAACAAATTAATACTAAAAAATTAATTTTGAAATTAATACCTGAAATATTTCACATCTATTAAAATGTATTGTTGATGATTAAGCCTTATTATATCTAATTAATGGCAATTTCTCAGTGATAACTTGAATATGTGAAATTAACAGCATCAATAAAAGAAATAAACCAAAATATTTAGCTGATTTGAATACTAGATAAAATGAAAATGTTTTTTATTTACTAATTTGTAAGATTAGTTATATAACAATTTTTTAATTTGAAAAGGCTATTTATTAGAAAATGGTAATGAAATTTTACGAATTATTCTGCGCAGCATGACAGATCACAGATCATGTGATTGCATCTGAATCAACGATCCAGCGCGTGACAACTTAAATAGCTTTTCGCGTCGTAACTCTGTTCTGCACGTACAGTCAACACTCTTTATAACGAACCGACGTCCTGTTAGAAAAAAAAAAGTCCGTTATATAAATTACTATGTTTTTTATATGAACCATTACACTTTTTATAACGAACTATTATTAAAATTTAAAAAATTTTGAGTTCGTTATATCCAGTGTTTGTTATAAAGAGGTTCGTTACAATTTGACTGTAATTCTTATAAAATAAAATATTTCTTCTTGAGTAATAACAACAATCTCGCAACCATGAGCATTCCAAAACACATTCTGTCCGTTCCGGTACCCCAAAGAAAAAGCGTGATGTTAAATCATCATCATAAAAAAAAAAAAAAATTTATATGAAATAAAATGAAAAACCCGTTCCCTAGTATAGTTCTCAACTCTAATCTGGAGAAATACTCAAAATGGTCTTATCGAGAATTTCTGAATGCGTGTCACGATAAAATCGTTGATTTGTCATTTTCGAATGACTGGCACGACCTCGACGTTTCTTAGGCCAGTCAATTCTTAGAGGAGTTGGGAAAGTTGTTGAAAGAAAGATTAAAAGGTCTTTAAAAGAAAAGGTACGTTTATTTTTTATTTTGCGAAGGAAGGGTGACTCCTGTCGGTTCTCAGTATTCTTATCTTGAATATTCCGTTCTTAGCTGGTCAATTTACCAACATCATCACTGAGGGTTACTCAGGAGAATTACTGTATCTGTTGGTATCCTCAGTTTAGGCGCTCTAATTTGTTGTTAATAAAGGTCTACAATCCTTCAACTAAAAAAAAAGGTTGCACTACTAATATCATTACTTTTATTACTTCTACAACAGGTGGGATCGGAACGTTCAAAGCAACAGTGTTGGAAAATGACGAAGTGACCTTAAAATGACATAATCGTTATGATTTTACTATGAAATCTATCACGTGATCATATACAAAGTGATCTAGGTCACTTCAAAAAAAGGGAAATGACCTTGAAATATGCCACGATTGAAGGTGTATTGGGAAGGAGGAATGTGGAAAGGTGAGTAATAGATTATGAAACTCTTGTATATTTTTGTATTGGTTATATGATTCGCTAAGCTAAAATCTGCTTATTGCGAAACGTAAACGAAGTGTGATCAAAGAGAAAGAAAACAGACAAATAAGAAGCTTAGAACAATTAGAAGGGATTTCTTTACCATCGTCAAATTCAAGCACCGTATCAACAGAACAGCGCTTTCCCGATGAGGTCTCAACTGGGTGGAATAATTTGATCAAGAAGTACTAGCGTGGCAACCGGAAGTCGATAAGATATACACCAACGTTTAGCCGACGTCGTACAGTAACTTGTGAAAGGACATCTGGACAGCGTCAGATAAAAGACAAAGATTACGGGCATAACCCAAATCCAATTTTGGCAAAAGTCGAAAACTTTCGATTTTGATGGGTTTCGATAGATTTCGACGAGTTTGACCATCTTTCGATGCCTTCGAGTTTTGCCAGGCAAAAACCTTAACTCCACTTGATCGTTCAATCGTGGTTTGGGAATGCAAAACAAGTGGGTTTTGAAAGCACCTTTTAACAAAGAGGAGAATCTATCGAGAATAATGATGTTGCTGAGGATAATTTGGAAGCTTCAATGCCAAAGACTTTAGCCCGCCTGTTCCAAAAAGCTTTTCGAGCAGAGGCACGTCTACGAAAGCAATCCAAGAAGAAATTTCGTGTTGGTATTGCTATGGGAAGGCATATGAAGAAAGGTTGAGTGATTAAGAATGCGCAGAAAGGAGTTAGTGATCAATCGGCTAGGAAATAATTCTATGATGACACCATGGAGCAACTTTCAGGCGGGTTTACTAAAGATACTTTGCGTAAAAAGACTCAAATGGTTGTAAAGATTTTTTAAGCTATTTCGGGAAGATTGGTATAGCGTTTACAACACTATTTAGATTACGTGATAGACCGGTGATTTCTGCGCCACATATCTGAGTTTCGCATTACCTGTATCTGCATCATTAATAAATAAAGTTAATTCGCTCTCTTTTAAATACATACTTTTTTCTTCATGCAGGTGACGTGGATGTGATGAGTTTAATGTGCATCGGAAAAAAAATAAAGATATATACGATTTGTGTAAGGAAAAGATAAACAAAAGATTTAGCAAATCAAAACAAAAGCAATCACTTTATTATTGTAATTATCAGCGATGAAATTGTGCAAACAGTTTTTCCTGATATCTAATATAGATCTACAAGAACTATTATTAACTATTGTTTTTTTAAAACGACATGTTGTAATCTATACAAATCAATTACGAAATTTTGAGCTATTACTGTATTAGGGACTGTCACAGTATATCCAGCTACGTTCGGAACTCCTGCTACGATTGGCGGATCCCAGAAAACATCGGATACTGGGATTGATACTGTGTAATTAGGCAAGCCTGGGCCAGTACAATCGCCAGGTTGATTACTGTTAGATAGCAAAGTTCCGAAGTCCCACTATAATATTGCAAAATTTATATTTTTAAGCTCTAAGATGCTTAATCACAGGAAATACTAACGGTGGATCAATCTTACTTCTAAAACAGATACTCCAGCTAAGTTTGGATTTGCCGATGTGGTACTTTCTGCTGGTGCCGGAAGTTGACGAGTCCACAACTTGGCCTAATATCAAAAGAAACTCTTAGAGATGAAATTATAAAAATAAAGCAGATAGGTAGACATACCTTCATAGACCGATGATTTGACCCTTTGCGTTTATCATAAATTTTTATTCCGAATACACTTCGAACGTATTGTTGAAGTAACCAACCTTCGCATTTTTTTTATTCAAAAAAGCCATATCTTCACATGCAGCTATCTCAACAATAATTCGCGCATGTGGGTTTTGCTATGTGAAACATATTAATATCGATAAAATAGCTCAAAATAAAATGTGATAATTAGTCCGGAGCGTAGCGAAGGACTATATACTTTACTGCGTGTCCCGATGTCCGCCCGCTCACATTATGAGTCGATTCGTCTGATTGGTTCCTGCTGTTACATCCCTTTCCCGATTAAGTAATTACCAAATTTGGTATTAGATAGTTAAAATAAAAATTACTAATTGGATATTAAATAATTAAATACAATTATTATTTTAGCCAAAAAATTTTTTATTATAATGATTATATACATATTTAATTAGGAGTTTATAACAAATTATATTTTATTTACAAATTCTATTTATAGTAATATTATAATTAGCAATATTAAATCAGTTAAAAAATATAATGATTTTTAATAAATTGTAAAAAAGCTTCAGACTTGTAACGGTTTCTGTTCCCTAGTATATCATTAGACTTTATGTACATTTATATCACCAGGAGGAGGCCCGGGATTCAAAGGAGTTTGAACAAGTGTTATATGCAAACAGATTTCAATATCTGCCGCTGTTTTTATTCTGACATTAGAAGGATCATAATGAACTGTAGAAAAATGTAAAGTGTTATTATGATCCAAAGATTATGAAGAACTAGAGGAAATTCTTACATGATCGTAGTGTATTATCTATTGGTAGATCATCATCAATGCTACCATTTAGAACATTAAAGTAATTAATTAGTCGCACAACAACGGCTTCACGCTCAGGGATTGCCATATTAACAATATATACGTCTCCGTTGTCCCAGTGAAGTTTATATCCAGTTGAACCGTTATTCTCAAGAAAATTGTTATAAGCTTCCACAGGAACTCTCAAACCAATCTGGAAAGGTAACCTGTAACCATATAATGAGTCAACACTGGGCAGCTCAAGAGTCATATTAAAACCCACTCACTTATTTTCCTTTGGAGTCCTTTCTGGTAACACTGGGTAATTCAGGTACTTTCCCTATTATTGAAAATATTTTGAAAGAAAGAGGTTTCGTAAAAATGTAAGGGAACAACAATCGAACGATGAACTGATTTTATAACTGATTGGAATCAAATGGGTTGATTGCTAGGAAAATCAGGTTCCGGAATTTTTTAGCGAAATTGAGATTTTTATTGCATTTTAGTTTTTGATGTTATTAGATTAAAATGTATTAAGCTCTTAATTTTAGTCAAAAATTTCTCAGAACCTGATTTTCCTAGAAACACTCCCAAATGATTGTATGTGAAAATAAATAAAATATGTGATAATATGTATTTATAATTCTAGTAGAAATTATATTTAAATTTTAAATTTTATAAAGAGTCTAATTTAATATCAAGGCATTGATTTTCTCCCTTACTTATCACTTAGTTTCTCATTGAAAACAAAGTTTTTCACTTCTTGGGTTTCAAAACTCCTATTAATAAGATTAATTCTTCTATCATTGATCTATTATCTGGCATATAGAAAATATCTGATGCAGTGGTGATAAAATTCTTTTAGAATATGTTCTCAATTGGTTTTTATATCTTGTGCAATATCCTGAAAAAAAAACCTGTTACTGTTTTAGTATTGCTCTCTCTTCTATATTTAGAAAACAATATTTTAACAGACTTCATAGGTAAGAAAGTATTAAGGTTAGAATTATTCTTTGCAACATCAGATCTTAAAAAATTATTAAACTGATTTAATAGTTGCATACAGGCATATAAACTTATTCTTTTAAATGAAGTGAGAATGGTCTCTAAAGAATAGCATAAGGCTAATGATTACTTAAAATCACTTATTATTGAACTGTATATAACAATAAAATGTAAAAGATTTAAGCCTAAAACAATTAAGAACTATACTGAATATATAGTTTTAAGTAATTATGATACATCACTTCATGTTAAAATGGGTGATAAATGTATTATATGTCTAGATATATTAACTTGCTGTAAAGAAAATATGAAATACTTTAAGTATTTAGAAAAAATTTTAAACAATCCAACTACATCTGATATTATTTACTTAAACATGACCTTTTAAATTAGGTATTAAAAAATATTCTTAATACAAAATGAGAATAGATACAATGTGAGATCAACTATCTAATTCTATTAAATTTATAATTAATCATATTTTCTTATGATCTGTAAAAAAATTGATAGGCTATACTATACAAATTTATATTAAGAATACCTTATTTAGTGTAAAAATAATGAAGAAAAACCATTTTCTAGTGCTATACTTAGAAAATATTGGTATTAATAAAATACATTTACAAAGTACTAGAAAAAGAAATTATCATTATATTATTGATTACTTAAAACCATAACTAAATTTTGTGAGTCTAGTCAGATGACATCAAAGAATTTTTAAAATACC